CCCGCCGATGCTATGCCAAAGCCGGAGGTGTCCGCATCCTACCAGGAGGTACGGGGGGCCGGGCAGGGCTCGCCGCCTGGCGAGCGGGGACAGCCGGCGCTGTCGCCGTGAGCTCGGCTCGGCGCTGGGTACCTGGGGCGGCAGCTGCGCTCGGCAGAAACGACCGGGTGGGTGGCTCGGGTGCGCGCAGTTCCGTGCTTTACCTTTGAACGTGGTTAAAATAGTGGGCAGCGGCTGTTCCAGGTGTGTTAGGTGGCTACTGCTGGCCTCTGTGGCTGGGGCTTGGTAACAAGGGGATGATTTGTCGGCTGTGAGAAATGACTTGGGTACCAGAGCTCCCGCTTCCGAAACTGAAGACGCTTTATCACACTGCCAAAAGCCCGAGGCAGCGCCTGGTTTGCATATCAATGTACAGGCTCAGCAACCCGACTTCCTTGCTCGTTCCTATCTCTCCTAGTAGACACACCAGCAATTTGTGCCAGGTTCAGCCACGGTAGAGAGTTACAGCAGAGCACTTTTGTTTGTATCTTGCAGGCAAAAGGAATTTTCCTTTTTATTTTCCTGCCTCTGCGCGTGATGGGTAGATGTGGCTCAGTTTTAATGCATTCTAATTTAGTGTGGTACTGTCTGTTTAGTTTCAGCTTCTGGTTTTCTTGCCAGGCTAGAAGGCATTGGAAGGTGATGAATCAGCAGATCAGCAAAAGGCCTATATGAACAAGTTCTCCTTTTATTTAAGGGAGTTTTGTCCACTAGGAGGGTTTTAGCCTCCTTGTGTGCTTATACCTAGGAGAGGTACTTGAGAGAGTTAATGAAGCTGCATTAGTGACTGAAGTGCAGATGGATGCATGGATGTTGCATGTTATGTTTCCACCTTTAGTAACAGCCACTGACACTGCTCCATATGTTTGGGTTTATCCCAGGCTGTGGCAGGAGTCAAGATAGACTGTGTGTCTAAGTGTAGCACCTTTGTGTCCACTCATTCTTCAGCACCTGCAGCAGTCTTTGTTGCTTCTGCCCCTGGCAGGGAGGCTCAAATGGCTGGACTTGCCTTTTCTGAACTTCTTTTTGTCCAGTGCCTTTCTGTGTGCAGGACTGAAAAAGAATGGCTGGGACATAGGCAGGTTCCTGCTGTTGTTTCTCCCTCAGCTGCATGTGCTGAACCCAGAGGAATGCTGAGTGAAGGTCTGTTTCATGCTCTTCCTGCCCTTGACATCCTGTCCTGTCTCTGCATCCTACTGCAACCTTAACTACCCTGCAATCTGATTGGCACCATGCTTCACCCCTTTATCAAAAATACCACATAGGAAGGGCTGGCCTGAGAGGGTGAACCTGGTTGGTGTGCTCCAGGTTCGCTGTTGGAAGAATCCCTGAATCCAAGAGGAGTGACAGGTGTGAACTGGAATCAGCTGTGCTGCAGCAATGCTGCGCTGGCTTCCCAGTCACTGGGATACTGTAGCCGGGTGTGTGTGAGGTGTTGGGTTTGTAGATCTGTGCTGCCTTGCCTTGTAGAGTCAGGGCGCTATGTGCTGCTCAGAACACAGTGGCTGGGCCATGCACTGCTCTGGGATCTTGGTGATCCCTTCAGGTGTTCAGTATCTGCAGTAAAATATAGTTGGTTTTAGGGAGCAGGTCTTACACTTCAACCTGCTTACTGCATCTGAAGCAATGTTAGTAGTTCTGCTCAGGCTTGGCTGTCCTTTGTGCGTGAAAATCTTGAGAAACATTGTGAACAGAGATAAGAAAACATAGTTGCATATTGTTTGGGGTTTTTTGGTTTGTTTCTAAGGAGTGCTGAAAGGTTGTGTTTTCTGAGTTTATCACAGCAATCATTTAGATTGGGAATTACCTCTAAGATAATTTTTCTTCCACTTGTTGAAGAAAATTACTGTAGGTCCTCTTGAGAGGATAGGAAATGTTGCTTGTTTTGTAATTTTTAAAACTTGTGTTGGGATCTCCTTGCCTTGCTATTCCATCAGGAATAGAATTTACTTAGCCTCCCAATAACCTCAGTCAGTGAAGTGCCTGTACCTACGGAAGTCAGCTGAGGAGCTGCAGTGACTTTGTAACTTAACATTTGTTGGATCAGCTCTGGTACAAGCAATTCAGATAAGTATAATTGGAACTGGTTTCTTAGCTGTTTTAGTGTAACTAATACAAGAGGTTCAGTGAGTACTTTTCTTGTGTCAGAGTAGCTTATTTTGGGTCAGATAAACAAACAGAACCAGCATGTTTCTACAAAAAGGAGCAGAGTTTTTATTTTCCCTTATTTTAGGGTGATATTTGAAAAAGGTATCTTCAGTTGGACTCTGGTATGTCTTGCACATGAGCTGAGTTTTTAACCTACAAGTTACCTGTTCACTTCTTGCCTCATGCTATGGGAAATCATGCTTTATTTATGTACTAAGCATTTAAAAACAGCTGGGTAACTGCTTTCATCTTGCTTTGCATGGTGGAAATGAATAGAGAAATACAGCAGGAGATGATGGAGGCTTTACGTCAGACTTTGAAGACATAAAATGAGTGGACTCTTTCCTAACAGGTGCTAATGACGATCTGGGAATTAAAGTTGGGTGAAATAAAAGCACTCCCTTATGGATAATGTGCATATGGATATATGCACATTACTGTTGTGTAAGTTAGGAGTGTAGGGTTTAATAGCATTCAGTGCTGCTGCAGCATTAACTGTGCCCCCATTTTCCTTGAAACAGGAACAAAGCTAATGTGATGTGCTGCAAGCTCACGCCTTGGTCTGCACTAGTGTAATCTCTGTGTCAGTCCCCACCTCAAAAGAAAACCTGGAAAGCATACAAGAGATACTTTATATTTATAATTTATATTTTATAATGTATAAAAGCTGTAGTGCTTCGCAATGTCACGTGATGCGTATCTGATGTGACAAGCTTCTGACTCGGATGGAAGTGGCCTGGCAGTTTGAGCCTAGAGCTCTGAATAACAAAACAAGAAAACATCTGGTCTCTGTTGGTGTTTCAGAAACACTGGCAGACTAATTAGTTGCATAACCACTAATAAATAATAATCTGCACAGTGAGATCAAATAAGGACCAGAAATATAGAGATGCTTGACTGCTGTCTCATAATGACCCAGCCATCTGTGTGGCTAAGACTGTATTTCAGTGCCTTGCCTTAGCACCCGTCAAAATGCATCTCATGCTTTTTGTACCTCTTTATTAAGAAGTGCTAATGCTCTGTTTGCTGGTATGTGCTGTGGTTTTTTTATGCCTAAAAATATATTCTTCAGTGACAGAATGAAGTTCCTGCTTGTCAGAGAACACTGTCCTAATTGCAGGATTAAATTGCGTTGGAGCTGCTGGGGAAATAATTACTTTGGACTTGAATGGAAAGGTGATGTTATTGTTGAAGCAGCAGGGTAGAAGTAAGGGCAAGACACTTAAATTTTGGCTCTAAGTCTACAGAAGTGTGGCTTTTGTCTCATGAACAAGTGGAACAGATGTTGGGTGCTCTTGGACTGGGGGCATGTTTTTGTGTGTTTGGTTAGTTGGAGCCTCTTTTATTTGTACCATAGAAATTCCAACAATTGCAAGTTGAGAGCATGTTTGGAAATTGAACCACTGTTTTAACTACACAGCTGAGTGAAGATGTGGAGCGAGTATCTGAAAATCCAACAGAGGAGAGAGAAGGAGATATGGAAGTTCATGAAGATTCCAGCTCTGTTATTTTACCAGGTGAGAACTATTGACCCAAAAATTCCTGATTTTTAGGGCCTGTTAGTTGCTGCTGTTCATGGTATTGGTTGTTTTGGTTTTGTTATTTTATTGCACTTCTAAAAGTAAACAAAACACTAATTTCACTGCTTACTTCACTTACTTCACTAATTTCACTTACTTATTTTATGTAACTCAGTACTGATGGAAAGCCAAGGAGGTTTTTCCAAGGACTGATAGGAGAATATTTCTTTGTCAGGAACTGTGTTCAATCAAAATAGGTTCAGCACTTCTGACTCTGAGGTAGCTTAGTATGTCATCTTCCTTTATGTTGTGTCTCACCTGAGTGGTAGTGGGTTGCAGGCAGAGTCTGTGACAGATTTACGTGAGGAAGATGCAATATTGAATAGGTGCTTTTAAATAGATTCTTAGACTGTCCAGGCTGCTTTTGGAGCAGTGCTAAATGGGCTTATTGCAGGTCAGGTGTGGGCACTGGGGTTAGCCAGCCTGAAAGGAGCATGGCCTAAATGCCTTGCAGCTGTTCAAGACATATTTGTTTCAGCAGTGCAATTTTATGCATATTATTGTCCTAATTGCCTTGGTTGCCATCTCCTGGCATGTGACTTGCCCATGGACATTTCTAAGTGGTTATGTGTGCAACAGGGTTCACTAAAAGGCTCATGTTCATTGTGGGAAGGCACAAACAACAAGCTGTAGCGTTGGAGAGCAGCCTGTGGCATGGCCTGAGAGGGCCTTTAAATGAAATGTTCATTAAATGACACCACACAGAACAGTCAGCAGGAAGCAGCATGGCTGCATATCTCCTTTCTTGCATTGAGTGTTAACATAAAATTTTGTGTGTTCAGCTGTATATCGCTCATGACAAAACATGATGTGTGACTCGAGAGTACAAGAAGCTTTTCCTTAGAAGTATTGCCAGAAGAAATGGCAAATGCAGGGAGTATGGGTAAAGCAGTGTCTGTGAGTGAGTGAGACTACTGTGAAGATCTAAGGAGAACAAGGTTTGATTCTGGGAGAATTGGATCAGTCTCTTTCTAGCTTAGAAGAAGGAAGAATCCTTCTATTAAAATTTTTAACATGCACAAGGAATTATGAACTAGAGGGTAACAAATATCTAGTGACTTCTACCATGGTGGATATGCAATGCATAGAGCTAGGCATGAGCATTAGAATTATTAAATCACTCCACTGATGTTTATGCTGAGTGTGTGTAAGAATCACTTCAGACTGGAAGTGGGAGGAAAGGAGTTGGCTTTTTTTCCAGAACCCAAGATTGACCATCAACAGACTTTCTTGTGAACTTTAAACTTTGTTTCTCAGCTGTCCTTGAAAATAAACTTTGTTTCCTTACTGTAGTGGCCTTAAGCAGAGTGCCAAATTCTGGCATGTGAAAAGGAGGCACAGTCTTAGGTTGATTACATCTCTTGAGGAGGAAGCATCTGCCTGGCTGATCATCAAAACCAGAATTAACTGTGGTTTCTTGTGGGGGCAGTTTCTTAAGTCAAGCTGAGTTTGAGGCTTATTTTCCTCTCACATGATTGATCTTTAAATAAAAATTCAGCAAAAATATCTGCATTTTAAAGTGCCAATCCATATTCTGTTTGTTTCCAGATGGTGAACTGGGTACCACTACCCCTTCTTTGCGTTTCAGCAAGACCTGCCTGAAGAATGTTTTTTCAGTAATTCTCCTGTTTATTTATCTGCTGCTCATGGCTGTAGCTGTGTTCCTTGTCTACCAAACCATCAGTGACTTCAGGGAGAAGCTCAAGCACCCAGTGATGTCTGTCACTTACAAGGAAGTGTCCTTTTATGATGCACCTGGTAAGAGCAGTAACAAGCAAAATTAGTTAAGTTCTTGTTCATGTTTTTCTTGGATTGTTTTAAATTTTTGGTGTCTCTGGAGCCCAGTGTGCATATAGTACTTTGACCCAGGTCTTTCATTTCCTCACTTTTTAATCTAAAGTTGTGTTGACTTTGCACAGAAATATTAACATTGTACAGGAGATTTTTGGGAGCTTTCATGCCAATAACATGAATGCCAGGAACTGTGGAGAATTATGCAACACTTCATAGATAAGAACTGTTTTCTGACTCTAGAATGAGTTTCTTTTACAGGAGAAAGATAATTCCTTTTGGAAATATTCCCTAAACTGTATCATTCAAACAAAGTAACACATTGAATGTGTATTGGGAGCTCAGTGCTGCACTGGGCAATGAGATGCCATTCACAGTAAAGAAGGGGAATTTCTCAAACCAACCACAAAATAACCACAATGCCACTTTCTACTTCCACCCTGCCTTGTTTGCAACATGGTATTACGTCAGTAGGCAATGAAAATGTGATGTGACTGCAGGGGACAATGTTGGCATAAAAATGCAGCGTAGCAGCAGAAACTGTTGCAGTTTGCAGGAGGAATTGCTCCACGGGAGCATTTTTTAGTAGTGAGTTCTGTTGTTATTATTCTTTTTAATTGTCCAGCAGCCATTTGTAAGTAGAGCCATGGTAGCAAATGCAGCTCAGTCAATCATCAGTGAGTTTCCAGTTAAACAATAACACTTCTATTTGAAGTGTTAACACGTTTTCCAAATACCCACTTCCATAGTTGTGGCTGAAAGGTGTTTTGAGTTGTTGCCATATTACTGTAGTTGTTTTTTCTCTATGGCCAGTTAGGCCCAGCTCTGGAAGTAGTGCCTAATGTTTGGACCATATGAATCTGACTGTAAGAGCAAACAAACTCAAGCTTTCCCCTCCCTTTTTTTTTTCCCCTTATGAGCTCTTCATATAGCAACAGGAAGAAAATAAGCAGATTTTAAATAAGCAGAGCAGCATACATGTAAATCCAAAAGTATTGTTGGAGATCCCTGAGATCAGAGAACCTAAATCAATGTAGTTCTTTATTTTATTGCTCTGTTAAAATGATGAGACGGCAAGTTGCAATCATGGAGCTCTGAAGAAAGAAATAAAGCATTTGATATATGCTGAGTGCTTTGACATCTCACATTTTGGTGGGCAGGTCATCTCAGCTGTGAGTGAATTATATCTAATCAATCACTCATTTTTTTTCTTTTTTTTAAGTTTAACTGGATTATATTCTAGCAAGCTTGTTAACAATAATAAACATGGCATAGGTGGTATAAAAGGATTTTGCAGTTTGGCTCTTGAATTTTGCTAGCCTTCCAAAGCTGAGGTGGTCGAGGTTGTTTGAATGCACTGTTGGACTGAAACAGGAGGTTTATAGCATATGTGGGTTTCCATCCAGGTGGAGTAGTTGCCTGCCCTACCCAGTGATGTAAATAATAAGGGATGGCAGCAGTTAGTGAATGTTTGATGGCTTTGATTTTTATCATGATGTCACATTCAGTTAACAGAAGATGCTGTCTTCTGAAGAGCATCTTTTTACTTCTATTAGCTCAGCCAGTGATCTTTGATCTGTCCTGTATGTATAGTATGGTATGTACATTATTTCCAATTAACACTTGACATATTAAATGCTGGTATCTGAAAACTAAAGCACTATATGTGCCATTTGATGGCCCCTAACATGTTTTACAGATTTATCTGGGATTGAAACAGTCTGATGGATTAGCTGCTGGCTCGTGGGAAGACTAGGGAAGCTTGGTAACTTCTATGAACCTTGAATTATTGTAACAGAATATGAACCCTGATTTTTTCCAGTGCATTGTGGGGATTCTGTCCTGATGCAGTTGGTGCTTTTGTCCTGCTCCAGAAAAATGTGGAAGCACATGGTTTATTTTGATTGTTTTGTGGCATCTTAAGGATAGCTCAGTATCCCACGGGAATAAATTCCAGAATGAAAATCTATGTCCGCAGGAAGGAAATCAGTGCTCTCCAATGTTTTTTCTCCCCAAACAGGTATTGCCTTTTACCCAGGCAGGGCTCGGCTGCTCAGCTGCAAACATCATTACTACGATCACATTCCACCTCTGATAAATCCAGGTCAGCCAGGAGACATTGAATGCACCACTCAGAGGATCAACTACACAGATCCTTTTACTAATCAAACTATGGTAATAACAATATAATAGAACAAAGCTTATTCAGTGTGGGTTTTCTCCTCATAATCTTGTTGGAAAGTAAAAATATGTACTACGTGCTGTAAAAAAATCCTTGCTTCTGGTTTGGATTTCTCATAAGCCATCTGTCATTTTGTTTTCAGATATGTAAAAGACCCCAGTCAGTGTATATATGTGTTATGGAAGATCAGCTGTCCTGTGGGTGTGTGCAGCACAAAACCCTTAATGGGATAAAATAAGTAATTTTTCACAGTGAAACTCTCACTTCATTCTTCTCCTACATGAACTGGGAAGCATTTTCCTTGATATTGTAAACCTAGCTTTGATTGAAAGCAGTATCAGTATCCATTAAAGGAGGACAGCTAATCTCTTTTTTTTATGTTTGCTGGGAATTCATACATGAATTCCTGCAATTGCATATCATGTCTGTCACACTTGGAAGAATCTTAAATGGGCACCACGTGTTTCATTACACTGAAATGCTTTTAGCCAGCAAGACGAGTGATTGAGTACATTGAGTGATAGTCTGTCTTAAATTGCCCTTAGAAGTGCAGGGAAGCTTGCTTCTGTATAAACAAATGTCCAAAACTCACAAATGACCATATTTAATACTCCAATATTAATATTTAAACACTGAATCTTTTTAAACTAAAAGAAGGGACTCAAGTGGCGTTCTTGTTAGGTATTTTAATAGATGTGTACTTAGTAGCAGCCAGTAAACTCTCTGTGTGTATTAGATTTCCATAGAGTATTAGTGCCAGATGGCAAATTAATGAACAGGAAATGAGGATTCCTTTGCTCCTCTCACCATATCTGTTTGCTTACAGAAGTATGCTTTGGTTGTTCAAGGCCCTCGTGATGTGAAGAAAAGGGAACTGGTGTTTTTGCAGTTCCATTTAAATGAAACAGACCAAGATTTTAGTGCCATTGATTACCTGCTGTTTTCATCTTTCCAAGAGTTTGTCAGCAGGTATGTAAAGGGGGGGAATGAGCCTGTGGCTGCATTGAACTTGCTGTCACAATACTTGTGAAAGCCGGGCTTTTCTAGTAAATATCAGGCAGGCTTGCAGGCTTTTATGATTTTTTAAAATATTTGGACTATGTTGATGCTCTTTCATGTCTTTGTTTATTAATATGACCTTTAAAAAATGTATTGAGGGCTTTTTCAGTGACAAAAACCTGCTCTTCAGCTGTGCTTAAACTATTTGCAGCTGCATTTTCTAAAACCTTGGAGTTTGTGCTGGCTTCCTGCTGTCTGCTGCTGTGGGTGATCCGGAAGTGTGCTGTTCTGGGTACGGTGTCAGGGAAGTGCACCAAGAATACGAATATTTCTGTATGATTTGGGATTTTTTTAAAGCAATTACTATGAAGGTCAGATCCCTAGATTGCTATGCTATGATTTCATTGAAAGATTAACTCTGTTTATTTGCCTTACTGGGTTAATTTAATATTCAACAGAATGATGTAAATTCATATATGGGATTTTCGTAATTGCTTTGTGTTGGTTTGACATTGGTATCATTGGAGTATCTAATCAAACTTCTAATTTTAGCAAGAATGGAATTAATCCTGTCTTGAACTTTCTTGAAAGACCTGCTCTTTTTTCTACTTTTTGAGAATAAATTTCATACTTAAAAGTTTAATTTAAATTCAATAATGTTCTTCTCTCTGAGGTCCAGATTAAAAGTTAGTCAAGAAGTATCAGTCATAGTGACACCTGATAGAAAGCCTTAATTTGATAATAAATGCTCATTGAAAAAGGGACAGGGAATAGAGGACCTATGCAGAACAAAATTAGGTGAGGGAAGGAAGAGAACAGATTTTGTTGTAGCAGGGCCTTCTCAGAGGCTTGGACACGGTCATACTGATGCTTTTCAAGTGGATCAAATACTGTAAGTGTTCAGACATGATACCTCTGGGTGGCCAAAGACCAGTTAGCTGCATTTGCCTTTTACAAAGCATTTCTGCTTCAGTGAAGACATCTTAAGTCTTCAACTATTTTCTGCAACTGTACTGAAAAACCTCATAAAATGCTAATGTTCTCCATATTTTGGGCATTGATATTTTAGGGTGAGAGAATACCAGTTAAGAGTGGTGGTGTAGAAGGTGCTGCTTGTTCCTTATGTTGTTTTTGTCTGGTTTTATGGCTTGTGCTCTGGTTAGAAATGCTTACAGTGGGACCAATTGCAGCAAGGTGCTCAGCTCTTTCTAGACTGCCAGACACAAATACTGCCTGAGACCACCCCTGGTGTTGCACCTGGCTCGGGGCAGGATGAACAGCTCAGTCTGTACATCCTCAGGCCTTGGAAGCCACATGGGAAATGGGGATGTTTGTTTGGGGATGCATCCTTTGCGCTCGCTTGAGGCAGGTAGTAGGAATGGGAGTTAAAACTGGTTTTGAACTAACCCAGGTGAATGGTAACATTGGCAAGGGGATGAAGGCCTTACTGGTAAATGGTCTGCATGTCTAGATGGAATACAGGAAAAGAACCAGCTGTGGGCAGGAGGCCAGTGGTGTCTTTTTTGCAGCATCGTCCAAAACTTGATACAAATGGTGTGGCTTGTCTTGCTCAGTACTGTGTTTGCTGTCCTGGCATGAACTGGCTGAGCTCAGGGAAGGTTGGGAGTTTATGCTTCTCCTGACTATGAAAAGTGCATGTGAAACTGCACTGTGTATATGGAGAGCACTCATTCTGTCCAGCTTCCAGCAGAAGAGAAAATAGAAATTATTTCTTGTTCATCAGCAAATGCTAAATTTAGCCGATGGGAAGTCTGGATTAAGACATCTGTAGAAACTGTTGTGTGTCCTTCCATACAGCCTCTGAAAAATTCCATTACTGGCCTCTGTTAACTACTTTTCCTGACAAAGTGTCTCACTGGTTATGAGAGCCCAGAATAACCCTGTGCCCAGAAGCTCATGCCCTGTGTTATCACAGGTGCCACAAGCAATAAAAAAATGGCATCTAAGGACTTGTATCTTTAAGAGATTTTTTGTGGTATAGTAAGTGCTGAGGACTCAAGCAAGGTCCAGTTGTTTCTGTCAAGGGCTTTATTCTCTGCAGCTCTTCTGTTAAAATTGGATCAGACTCCATGAAACTGGCACTGCTCACTGATTTTGTTCTGGTCTCCACAGAACACTGCTGCACTGTGTGCTGTTGTTTGCCTCTGAGCTAGAGGGAGATGCTGCTGGCTTCTTTTTAATTTTCTTTTTTTTTAAGGTAGTGACAGGTGCTGTCTGTACCATATTAATTGGAGGGAGTGAAATAATGAAACCCTTGCAAATTACCCAAAATGTGTTGCTAAAAATACAAGTTCCTCTCCTGAACTGTGGTTAGGATAATGCATAGGGTTCAGAAGAAAATCCTCTGAATATACTCCTGACAAAACTATTGTTAGTGCAGCATGTCAAATAACTTATGGCCTTGTGAAATGATGAATACCATTGTGAACAGATCAGAGATTATTTAAGTGTCTAAACAAAGCTCCACATTCATATCTCTGATCTGGATTGCTGCATGCAGAGAAATACAACATAGAAGGATTGAGACTTTTGGTACCACATCAACCTTTATTAGATGACTTGGCTGCTTAACAGTTTCCTGCTCTGGGGAAACACAAAAGCAATAAACACAGATTGGGTTTGAACCATCAGTGGGTTTGGCTCTTGCTGTTGCATTGGAATCTGCTGGTGAGATGTTCTAAACTTCTCTGGCTCTCATGGGGTGATCCATAGACACTGCAGCACTACAGCCCAGTCTAGAAATAGTGACTCCCACACATCAAAGAAAAGAGAAAGAAAAAAAGAAGAAAAAAACCCCAAACAGCAACAAAAAAGAGGTGTAGCCTGTGTGGGTTGTCTGTCTTTGGTGTAAAGAGGGAATTAAAAGAAACTGCCTGGAGAACTGTTTTTCAGCTTAAAATCCTTTTCCTGTCTTGTGTTCACTTGGTGGTGTGTGGTTTTAAAGCTGTGTTATTTGCCCTATTCTATAATTTGTGCAAAGCTTGTGCCCCTCTGCTGTGCTCCTCCTTTCCACTCCCTTTTTTTCCCCACTCACTCTGCTGCAGTGGTCTGGATTATGGAGATGCCTCTCAGATCACTTCTCCAAAGATATTATTAATCCTTCTTTTTCAAGCCTACAATTACTGTTGAAGGCAAAGCACACTGCTGCTGTCTGCCTACCATGGAAGTTGTGGCTGTAACATTCAGCTCTGTGTCATAACTTCCTGCCTCATTTTTCCATGTTGGCTTGGAAAGCTTTTCTGGGATGCTGTATTTAGCCAGACATTAGGCATATGACTGGCTGGCAGAGTGCTAATTATGTATGTTCCTCTTGAGTGTCAAAGCACTCTGGTGCTCCCCTGTGCTGTCCCCTCAGCTGCTGCTCTGCCCACATCCCGAGGGAGGAAGCAGTTGTTGGATTAGGTGTTCCTGTGAGGAGCAGGCAGGCTGTGGGCTTTGTCCTTAGGCTCTGCCCACGTCTTTCCTGTGGGAGGTAGAGAAGTGTCATCCTGTTGGGGTCACAAAACAAGCCCCTCATGTCAAAATAAAGATATTCCTAACTTCCTAGAACATCCTGGGAACAGCATCTGTCTTGATAGGTAGCAAAGCGTGTTAGTTTTTCTTTCCAGAAACCCTTCTCTTTTCTGTGCATGTGCACAGTGGAATTCTGTGTTTCAGTCCATTGCCTGAAGCCCTGACTTGAGAGAATGGCTTTGCTGGGTTTTGCTTTCCCATATGTGTATGTGTGTATTCATCTATTAAGCCTGAGCAGGTGGTGTGGTACAGAGTGGCCATCAATGTGATATTTATATCAGTGCAGTCCTTTTGGTCCTTGTAGGCAAGACACCTTGGTTTGTAGAAAGAAAAGAAACCCTGAGTTTGAAAACTAAGCAAAAAAGACAGGAAAACTGCAAGTCCAGTCAGTGCTGGACAATCTTCCTGATTGGCCTGTTCTGGGACAAGAGCTTGCTTCTTCACCTCTGCTTTACTTCTTTACTTCTTTGCATTTTCTCCTGAAAAGCCAAAACACCTTCATCTCCTAAAAGACCCAGTCACGCACACCTTCTGCCTTAAAAGCAAAGAACACTCTTTCCCTTCTCCTAGGTAGATGGATTTTTCCCTTCTCCTAGGTAGATGGATCAAAACCCTCCCCCTTCTTTTAAGAACCAACATACCCTGGCATATCTCTGCAACCTGAAATCTATCTTAGTAAAAATAGCCTTTAATTATTCATGACTTCTCACAGTGGTTTACCCCTTCTTCTCAAATGAAATCTTATTGGAAAAGTGGCTGCAGGGCTTATTTCACAGGTATGACATGAAAATGGCTAAAATCACAGTACTGAGGAGCTCCAAGTAAATAGCATGGTCAATTCACTATGTCCTGTGCAGCTGGTAGAGAAGAGATGGAGACCAGATATGCCTTAAAGCTACCTCTTTACTACTTGCAGCATGAGGGGTGCTGGAAGCCTTAAAGGTTTACAGTCACAGTATTAAAAAACAAAACCCCAACTGAAACACAGGAAGCAATCCTGCTGTTCTGTGGGCTGCAGATTTCTGTGATTGCATATTGGGAAAACAGCCATGTTACTGCAGGTGGGAGCCTTACACCAAAGCTATGGTGTTTCCAAAATAATAGGAATATCCTGAATAGAAATTTTGAAGCATTTTAAGCATGTCTGCATTGCAAGTGGTTTATTTGGCAACCAGAAATGAGGTGAAGCACCCTGTCTTTCCTCCAGGCTCTTCCTGCTGTCTCTTGCTTCTTAACTTGGTGATGAGTTGTTTCCTGAGGTGCTGGCTCTGCTCCTGTCTGTCCCAGAGGTGACAGATGAGCAGAGCTAAACTCCCTGTGAGGCAGAACAATCCCTACAGGCAGGCAGAACTCCAGTGCCATAGGCACCAGGTAAGTCCCCTGCAGTTAAGGATGCACCAGTGAAGTGCTAATGAAATTAGCACATTAATGAAATTAATTAAAACATCACTACACTCAGTGTTTTAGATGCGCTGAATTTAGCCGCTGGAGAATGAAAGGAATTGTGAATATAGTTTGAAGTGCCTGTAGGTCTGACCTTCTCCTGCCTACAGTGCTCGGTTTGGTCAATAAAATAATGCTCTTTTTCCTTTAGTCCAGAAAAAGCAAAATTCATGAAGGACTGTGAAAGTTCATACTCCAGCTGGAAGTTTTCTGCAGGCTTCCGAACTTGGGTCAAGATGTCCTTGGTCAAGACAAAAGAAGAAGATGGTAGTGAGACTGTTGAATTCAAACAAGAGGTAAAAAAAAGAAAATAAGTACTCATAAGGCTTTGGGAGTTTGTTTTTTGTTTCATTGCATCCATGATGCCCTTTGCACTGAGCAGTTTTGGCTATAGTTGCTCACACTGTTTCTCAGCAAGGAGGGATTTTGTAAAAGTGTAAACATCTTGATGTGCTCAGCTCTTGGTATGGCCTCATGACACAGCTCAGGAAAACATCTCCTACCAGGGAGGCCAGAAATCCAGGCCTCAAATGGGTTATGACACTTGTAGTCTGAGGTAAGGGTCCCAAGGGACTGATACAGAAATATTAACATAGCTACCTACAGTTCAAGGTGGAGAACAATTGACAAAGGAATTGTCTAAATAACAGCTTCTGTTGGAAAGAGGTATTGTTTAGGTTGCCACTGACACTAGGATGAGGAGGTAAACATAAGCCTTGTATCCTTTGTAGCATTCTCAACTCTTTTTGTTTGGGTTTGGAATTTTTAACTGCTGAGTGTCCTTAGAAACACAGAGTACCTTCACTTTTTGCATTATTTACGACTAGAAAATATGCAGGTGGAAGATGCAAACTTATCTAAAGAGGAAATGAGCTTGACTTTCATTCCTATTCTGTTCCCATTAATGCATAGGGGAATAATTCTGTTTTGAGTTTTTGCTTCCAGTGTGGTTGGAAAGGAAGTATCTCATCAGTGGTGAGAAATGAGAATTTTAAGAGCTGTCATTTGGTACTCTTGGAAAGAGTCTTCTGGGGGGAGAAAAATGAAGCAGAATCTTCAGTTCTATCTTTAGTTCTCACAGTTAGGTGTTATGTGGAACAGTCCTAAGGCAAGAGCAGATCTGTGACTGTGAAGGGGGTACACTCCTACTCCACTAGAGGAGGACATGAGGCAAATCTCAGACTCATGCAAGTCCCAAAGTAATGCCTTGGTTTGGAAGAGAGGAAAGAATGCATCAGTCTGCTGCTGCCATGTAAGCACTGGCAGCAGCTGTCTGTCCTTCATCACCTACAGCTCTGTATTATTTGCCATTTGGCAAATACTTTACCAATACAGGATTTTTGAAAGTACTCTTTTGTGTGCCCCAGTCTAACAGGTCTCAAAATGGAAACAAAAGGCTGGCTCTAATTCAGAGAAAAAGTTTTTTGTGACTATAAACATCTATTTAGTTCAGCAGTTATCATCTGAGTAAGTGAACACTGTTGCTGGTTTGGATTTTCTGATTGTTTTGTGGGTTTGTTTATTTGTTTTTAATAAAACCTAAAAAACAGGCATCAGATCCCTATTAATAATACAGCAGAAATTGAAACAGCTTGGACATAAATTGCACTTGCTTTGTTTGACAGTACAACATCTGCTCAAATTGCACCAGGAAGTCCATTAGCCTTTCAAATCCAAACCTGAGAGCTGGCATACCAGAAAGATGGATACAAATAATAGGTCAAACAGAGCAGTCAGTCACTTTGCTAACTAGCCCAGCAGTCATTCATTTGTATTTTCTGCCTTTCCCATTGCCTTCATTTAGCCCTGTGTACGGTTTGTTTCCTGGTGTGCAGTTTTCTTGGATGAGTGTGGTTGGGGCACTGGTACCCAGCAATAAGGAAATGAGCTGTAGAAGTGTGGGGCAAGTCTGCAGCAAAGGTGTTTGACCAGAAACCAGGAGGTGGGGAAGCTCCACATGCTGAGTGGTTCTAGCTCCTGCTTTTGCTTGTCTGCAGCCTAAAATCTATTCAGGGCTGGGACCGTGGAGAAGACTGAGAGAAACCCTGAGGTATCTGGAAAGAAACTGCACCATGGTAGATCAGAGGCTCTTGTGGCAGATCTTCCCCATACAATGGGAAGACTTGTAAGGAGATGAAGAGAGTGGTCTGCTTAGAGACTTCCAGCTCAGCTATCCTCTGCCTGGAAAACTGGGCTCACAAAATGTGGAAAAAGCATGTTCTTCCATCATCTGTCTCATCTCTATGTCACAAGCCTGAAACAAAGTCACAGTGCTGCTAGACTGCTTCCAGTGCAGAATTAAACAGGACAAACAGCAGTACTCTCCTCTGTGCACACCAAGATGTAAACACTCTTTTGAGGTTTGGAGAAGTCCTTCCACCACTGTGCTTTCCTGAGGTCACTGTGTGGCTCTTGGGCAGTTTGTGTTGTCTCCAAGGAGTAGGAGTCAGTTCAAACTGTGCTGGTTTCTGCCTGTGTAAAAACCCTGTGTATGTT